ATATATGTTAAGGTATTTTAAACCCTTTTCACACTCTTGCAATATTCTATATAATGTTTCTAAACTCTAAACTCTCTAAAAGTGTCACAAAAATAACAGAATGTCGTGATTTCAGCTCCCTGCCTCCTCTGCTCTTTGCCACCTGCAAGCGTTCTGGGCCACGCCCATTTCTCTGCTCTGCACAAAAATCAGCTGATCAGCTGCAGGAGGAAGTTTATCCTACAGTAAGGGCTGCACAGAGGTGCAGGATGAAGCTTTGTCTGCAGCTCTGGGCTGCACAAAGGAGCAGCAGATACTAAATAATTTAAAACAATTAATTTTAAATAAACATTCCATGCTGATTGTGTGATCTTTTATTGATTTTATCGATTAGTTGTTGAAGCCCTACTTTGCTTGTCTCACGTAGATTCCGAAACGTCCAAATTAAGTGGACACGCTGCTGGGACGTGCCAGAGAATATTCCCTGAGATCTGATCCACCTTGCCAACGAGTCCTAGGTTCCGCAAATGGCCTGCGATTCTCACAAAGCACAACCAATTTACGCTCCAATTCGCTAAGCAATTGAGTCTGGGTACTCGAGACACAAAGCAAACCTTAACACAAGGCGGGCAGCCTGACCAGGGCCAAATTAGCTGCAGCCATCTTCTTTGTATGTTGATAAACCAGGAACCAGACAATTCCAAAACAGCAGGAAACATGTTATCATGAATCCAATTATATAAGCATTTTCAGCAGTTCGGCTTGCCTGAAGCTTGTCTCATTGTTGAGAACATTTTGTCAATTGCATTGAGAGACCAACTGACCAGATCCATAGCAAAATTGCAGTTGGGAAGATAAGATACGTAGAGAGAGGCTCAGAAGCAGTTTCACAGACATCAAATTTGGAAAAGTTTGCAACAAAAGTCTTTCTTTTGAAAATGAAAACAAACAAGTAACAAACTGAAGTCATGAAGAAATGTTCTTTTTTCACAGAGTGGTGTAGATAGATATTTCTCTGTTTATGTCATTTAACCGTTTGTGGAGAACTTATGACAAAAGAGACTATTTCTTTTCCTCACTTTTTTTTTTTTTACACTAACTACTGTGGTCTTAAAAAAATAGAAAAAGGCAGAAGTTTATTGGGGGAAATGGTTCAGTGCACAATGGATGTCTGGAGAGATTATGTGACGGCCGTTTCTGAGTGACATGCATTCAGAAATTGGAACAGATCTGCTGCCACATGTCCTGAATTTTTTTTTTTTTTTTTTTTTTCTTCTGCTATTTCAGAGATGAGAAGGTAAGTTCTCCTTCTCCAGGCAAAAGTCCCACAAAGTTCAGTCAGGTCATCTGCACAGTTTCTTTTTTTTTTTTTTTTTTTTTTGCTGAGACGTTTCGTCCTTCATCCAATGGACGTCATCAAACAGAGGAGCCACAAACAAACTGAGTCCCACAAGCAGCACACTCCCATAGTGGGGAAAAACAGTATACTGGTGATAAGATGGTTTCTGGGCCCATCCTTTCCCCCGTCAACTCCTTTGATGCAGACATGCCAAAGTGGTTCAAAATATCAAAGTTCATGCTCAATAATCCAGGTAAAAATCCAACATTGTTCGGTTTAGTCAGGTCAGTATTAGTAGATTGATTCTCTGTAGTAGAATATTATGATCAGCTGTACCAAATGCAGCACTGAGGTCTAACAGCATAAATACAAATGCACATTTTGCATCAGTGTACAGAAAAGTATTGCTGAAGCATCCGTATCAATGCTTTTCGTAGCAAAAATGAAATACAAAAATGACACACCTTAGCTTTGTTAGTCGTAGCAAGAAGAAATGTGACATCTAAAGCTCTCGTTTGATTGAAGCAATAAAAGAATCCAAGTGAGACCAAACTATATGACAACACCACGGGAAACAAATTTAAATGGCACCTTTAAAAGTTATATTTAGTTTGATTCCAGTGAAACGCTTCCCCAAACGCAACATTGTTTGGCGCATTCATGTTACCTGCGTAAGAATGATGATCCAAAGTTTATCACTAAAACCAGGGAATTACACGTAAGTAAATCGTTGTAAAACTTCTTGTTTTGAAATAAATCAGTCCAATTTAAAACTATAAGCGTTTAAGACATTTTTGAGAATAATTGTGTGGCCAACATCTTCAAAATATATTTTGTACTCTTAGATTTCCGTCTTTTTGTGCGCAAGTGAAGTAAACATACGCTTGTCACGTGACTGAGCCCTTCGGACCAAAACAGCAGAGCCGAAGAATATCAACAAACTGTTCAAGGAGGTGTATGAGCCTGACAACTCGCTCAGCGTCCACGAAACGATTATCTGACTCTCCACCGACTCATCGTCCTCCTCCTGTCCGGTAGACAGGCCGTCTCAATGCATTACAGAGGACCGACAACACCGAGGCCGTCATGGATGCGTACGATTTATTTAGCAGCTGCAGAAAGGGCGACATTTGTAGGGTCAGGTAAATAACGGCGCTGTTTGTTGACGTGCTGTTGGTTTGTGTAAAAGCTAAATGCTCCTGAAACATTTATTTTTGTTAGTTATTATCATTAACTTGAAAAAATAGTTGGCTGAACTTCGCCTACTGTTCTGCTGTGTGGACTGTCAGCTAGCTGCAGGAGCGCACAGCTAGGTTGCTAACAAACATTAGCTTTGATGACCCAGCTGTTTAAGTTACCAAACATTTGTAAGTCAGCTGCTCAGTTTACACGTGTGACTGAACTGTCAGTGTCAAATAAGTCCTGCAAGATGTTCATACTCTGCCCATATATGATAAAGGTTTTAGTTAATGCAATCCAGTATAAAACATCATTTATGTCATGTGCGTATCTAAGGTTTAAATCTCCATGTTGATGAAAGCAAAAGTCCCTGTACTGAGAGGGGTGATATTGGCCCTAAGCTGTGTGGTCATTATGTATTGCAAAAATGCACATGTAAAAGTACATTGCCATGCATTTGTTTTAAATGTATTAAAACATATTAACAGTGTGTGCACTGTAGGGTACAGTGGAAACAGTTCTAGGTAGGCAGGTTCTTGAGCTAGTTGCACATCACTAATAGATAAATAGTTGTGCTGCAGCAAAGACAAAGAGACAAAATGTAAACAAGTTGAAAATTAATGGCTCTGCAAATAAAACTGCAGAAAACCCCCAAAACGATTAAAACTGTGCAAGCAGCAATAATTACGTTTGTGCAAACAATCAAACACTGCAGAAACACATGTACAAAATATTGTTTAAACTGTGGATTTATTGTAATCAGAGGTGATAGATTTTGTTGTTCTGTAATACTGGGGCAGGAACGTTTTCCTGTAACAGGTGCTCCGTCAGCAGAGCTGTGTTAGAAAACGGTTTGAAAGCTCAATCATCCAGGTAGATAAATCACAAAAAAGGTTAAATCTTGTCATCTGGACAGTTGTTTTTTTTTGTAGAAACGTTTCATCTTTCACCCGAAAGACTTAGGTGCTGCATTGTGTGGTGGAGTGGATCATCCTTTATAGACATGATGTGTTTGTTCATTATTCTTTTCTCTGTCACCGCTTTACATTAGTCCAGTCTGGAGCTGATGATAGCTTTTTTATTTTAAGTTTATTTAGTTTGTAGGTGTTTTAGGCTCCACAATTAAAAAACAACAACAAAAAAACCAAAGCTCAGGCTGCATCAGACGGGTGGAACATGCTGCATATGTTGAAAGACCCAAGCTCCCTCAGAAAGTAGAGTCTGCTCAGCTCCTTCTTGTGACCAGCTCGAGTATGAGACGTCCAGTCTGGTGTTATTGTTGGTATCTCCCAGGTAGGTCTGTCACTGTAACCTCTCTCTCTTCATTTCCTTCAAAGATACCTTGTTGAGCAAAGAGATGTGGACCTCAATGTGAGAGATAAATGGGACAGCACCCCTCTGTAAGTACAGTTTGTTAATACTTTTACATCGTTATGTTAAACAGTTGACATACTGACACGTTCTCCTTCAGGTATTATGCCTGTCTATGTGGTCATGAGGAGCTGGTCCAGTACCTGTTGGCTAGTGGTATGAAGTACGTTTTATTGGTTTAATTGACAGCAAATATGTTGCAAGTATTCATTTTTTATGTATTACTTCACTCCTAGGTGCCAAGTGTGAAGCCAACACGTTTGACGGTGAAAGATGTGTGTACGGCTCTCTGAACGACTCCATCCGGCGCCTGCTCAAAGATTATAAGTGTGTCAGTGTCGTTGCCATGCAGAAGAATGACTTTGACTACTTCCTGCACTTGTAAGGCTCCGATGATAGTTTCTTGATTTGGGTTTATGTTTTTTTTTTTCACCTTTAAAGTAAATTTCTGCATTTTACTTTTAGGTTATTGGAACAAGGTCAGCACAGTGACGTCAAGTTCTTGGTTCATGGACAGACTTTTCTGGCCCACCGATGTGTTCTCAGCGCACGCTCCGAGTACTTCACTGAAATGTTTGAAACTAAATGGAAAAGAAAGAGCCTCATCACTCTTAAGCACCCCCTGGTAAAACATGTTGGGTGATTTGGCTGATTGATTCTGTGATAGTTGCTATGTTTAAGAGAATATAGTTTACATGAAAACGATTAAAAGTTGTTTTAATTTTTAGATCAATCCTGCAGCTTTTGGAGCCATTCTGCAATATTTCTATACTGGTGAGTGTGAGCTGAAGCAGCAAGAACTCCAGCTCCCAAACTGTTACAGGAAAGATTTTGTTTTACTTTATTTGTTTATTTTCAGTTAGATACCTTTTAAAAGAAATTGTTAAAACAAACATCTGCATCCCAATTTAATATTTTCAAAGGGTTGCGCTTGTAGAACCTCTACAGTCTGTAAGATATGACACAGTACATGCAAGACAATATAAATAAGTACAAATTCCTGCCTTTTCTAAAGCACAGATGGGGCCACAGTTTGTCCCTTAAGTGTTGTCTTTTGTGTAAAATATACAATTTTAACTTAAAAGTAAATATACTATAAGTTTTAACGTTTTCTTCTTTGTGTTGCAGGTCGAATGGATATAGACATAAATCTGGTGGAGGACAGCATGCGACTCGCTAAGCAGTGCAAAATGACAGCTCTTATAGAAGAGCTGGAGAATAAATGTAAACAAGTTTATGAATTTGGTAAGATACAACTTTCTGTTAACACGTTGCACATTTAGGCACCGTTTGTTTGTTTTCAGTACGACACAACACATTCAGATTATTTCTAAAGTACCAAAAAGTATTTCACTACTAGGCAGCACGGAGGCTCAGTTGGTAAAGTTATTGCTTCTCAGCGAGAAGGTTGCTGGATGAAATCCCAGCCGGGGGGCCGTTCTGGGTGGAGTTTGTATGTTCTTTCCGCACACGTGTGGGTTTTCTCCGGGTACTCCGGTTTCCTCCCACAGACCAAAAACATGCATGTTAGTCTGATTGGTGACTCTAAATTGTCTCTATAGTGTGAGTGAGAGACTGAATGGTTGTTTGTCTCTATGTGTCCCTGTGATGGACTGGAGACCTGTCCAGGGTGTCCCCACCTCTTCCACAGTGATTGCTGAACATGGGCACCATTGACCCCCGTGACCTGAAAAGGAAGAAGCGGGCAGCGATGATGGATGGATTTCACTACCACTGGCCTTTTTTTTTTTTTTTTCCTGGATCCTAGTTTGACTCTGATCCTAACGAGGACTGACTGGTTGTCTCATTTTCTTTCATACCGAAGTGTCAAACAAGCCAGGAACCTGTGTAAAAGTTCTCAGCTTGGAGCCTCACACATGTCAGCTCCAAGAAGAGATGGCTCAGCTGGCAGACTGCGCCCTGCCTACTGAACTACGAGTAAGGACACAGTGGCAGGAAAATCTTTGCTATTAACACAACATCACTGTTATTAAGTGCCTGTCCTGTTGACTGTCCTCAGGTTGGTTTTGGTGAGCTCCCCTTTAACAGAGTCGACCACTTTCCAACTTACCCTGACATCTGCTTCAGAGTGGAGGGTTATGACTTCTTGTGTCATAAGGTATGACACCCTCTTTTCCCGTTCAGCTTCTGGCACAAATGTAACTGTAGGGTTTTACAGTGAGTGTGTTTGCAGGCCTTTTTCTGTGGACGCAGTGATTATTTTAAAGCCTTACTGGAGGACCACTTCAGTGAGGGAGAGCAGCTGCAGTCTCAGCCCAGCACCCCTGTCATAACCTTACACATCTCCCATGAAATCTTCATCCATGTGATGTACTACATCTACACTGATGACACAGAGGTTTGTGAGTTTTACATTTGCGCTTCATTTGTAAAGTTTCTGCGGTAAAAAAAAAAGGTTCTGTTGCAACAAAAAATATAAATTTACAATTCGGCATGAAGTAAAGACACACACTTTATTTAGGAAAGAATTAGCAGCTAATACGTTGACATTTCTGTTCACTCTCTGCAGACTTGATCTTGTTTCGTAGCTTGAAAGAAGACAACTGTTTGCAAAGAAACCCAGATGGTTTATTTTGTTTGTTTCAAACAGCCCTGGTTATAAAATGTTTGGAAAAAATGAGTGCTATCCTTCAAAATATATATATATATATATATATATATATAAAAAAACAAAAAACTTCACAAAACAGTTTTATCTTACTTTGCGTGTGCTATAAAATTATATCAGAGTCAGAGTTTCTTTATTGTCATTTGCACCTCGTGGTACATGTGGTGGAGCGAAATTATATACTTGTAATGTAATGTAATGTAATTATGTATATTTTACCTAGGATAAATTTAATCTAATTAGATTTAGTGCCGTCATATTTTCCACAAACACTAAATACTGCATGCTGTTTTATTTGTGTCTGGTCTTTAAGTATGTAGGCACAAAAACAAAAAAAAAAACGTTTCCAAGCTGATGGTCTTTTTTTTTTCAGATAAAAACGTTGATTGAACAATAAGATTGAATTCAGAGGCCGGTCAGGTTTCTCACTGACTTGTATTCAGGTGGTTCTTGAACGCTCGTCTTTATTCTGTGCAGCTTGTGATGGAGAACGTGTTCGACGTGCTATGCGTGGCTGACATGTACCTGCTGCCGGGGTTGAAGCGCCTCTGCGGGAAGACGCTCGCCAGCACCATATGTGAGGAAAACGTGCTGCACATGTGGAAGACGGCCAAGCTTTTCCGTCTCTCCCGGCTGGAGGATCAGTGCACGGAGTTCATGGCCAAGATCATTGAGCGGGTGGGCGTCTCTTTACGTGTTCAGCTCTGTTGTGACTGAATGATTCTAGATTTTAAAGTTTATTACATGGTTCGTGCTGCGGATGTTCATATTTTTAGTTGGTTGGGTTAGAGCAGTGATTCCCAAATTTTTTAGCTCTTACCAACAAAACATTTGCAGAGACTTGTGCGTCCAACTGTTTCTGGGTAAAGTCTACAAACAATACTATGAAACTATTTAACAATGACCCTCAACAACTATTACTTTTCATTTTCAACCATTTTATGACCACTTTGTCTTTTTAGCTCTTTATAACGGTTAAATATACAAGTAACAACCATAGTTTCAGTAGATTTGTTATTTTTATTGTTTGCCCAAAAAGAAACCACACATAAAGGAAAATATAAAAAAAAAAAAAAAAAAAAGAATATGCAAGAGAGATCATAAAAAAACAAAATGGGCTTACAAGTCCCCCCTTCTAAAAAAAAAAAAATAATAAAAGCTTTATACATAACATTACATCTTATTTTAAACACACACAAATACACACCAAAGCAATAGATAATAGCTCATAATAAATTTAAATTGTCCAAAACTTTTAAAATAATAAATAAAACAATAAATGTGTTAAAAAATTATGCATTTTGTTTCAACTTTCTTTTAAATTCAGATGATGTATATGATTCACCTAGTTGTTTAAACTGTTCCACAACACAACACCTTGATGCATGAATGAAAACTGAGCAGCAGTGGTTCTGCAGAAGGAGAAATATAAATCACACCTCCTCCTTGTAGAGTATGAATGATGATAAGAATAAAAGTCAAAGACATTATGAAAATATTTAGGTAAAGCTAATGGAATACATATGATTTTATACATCAAGATTCCTGTTTGATACTTATTCACATCATAAACCGTAAGAATTTCTAATTTTTTTAAACGGAGGTGTGGTTGGAGCTAAATGTGGAGAGTTGGTGACAATTCTTCCAAAAGATTTTTGAAGTTTATGGATTGACCGAAAGTAGGAAGGATAGGTACTAGCCCAAATTAAATTACAATAAGAAATATAGGGATACATTAAACTATTGTACAAGGTTAATAAAGTACTTGTTTTTAAATAGGGTTTAACCTTTTTTATAATACCTAATGATTTTGAAATCTTCAGGGGGGAGGGTGAGGGGGGAGTTCTTGCACAAAAATGTTAACAAAACACAAACTTTTAAATTTGAGAAATAAGCCACTAGAACGTTTTATGGAAGTGTTGAAAAGAAAAACATGACAACTTGCTTTTGTATTTTATTTGATTTGACCTTTAAGTTAAAGAGGTATTTGTGTATTTACGTCATCACTATGATCCTACAGAGTCTTATTCAGGTTCTGAGGTCATAGCCCAGGATTTTCCTCACTGATTTAGTGAAACCAGATTTTCACAGTTGGAGGCTTGAACTAAGGTTGATGTTCTGGACCTTCTGATCAGACACGCTCAGTTTCTGTGTCTCCATCACACCTGTCTGTCACAGCTGGTGGAGCAGGCCGAGTTCGCGGCGATCATAAAAGAAGACGCTGCATCGCTGGAGGCTCGACAGGAGACGGACTCCGTCCCTCTGGTGGACGACATCCGCTACCATATCGCCAGCAACGTGCAGACGTACAGCGAGATCGAGGAGGCCAATCAGAAACTGGAGGCGCTGGAGGAGCTGCTTTTGAGCATTAATATAGACTGCTGAGGGGGTGGGCTGGTTTAGGCAGATTTGGAGGGAATAGCAAGCCTCTGTAGTGAGATTTAAAAAAAGCATACCTGTATGTTTATTGTTTATCATGCTTATTTTATGGACAGTGTATTCAGATTTGATGTTACTTGTGTACCTGTAGCTGTTTGTGTTAAAGCTTCTTAAAGACGGACATATCACATATCAGAACAAGTGTTTTAGTGCTCTAAAAGTTTAATGACGGGCAGTGAGAATTGTATCATACAAATGAATATCCTCGCATTTCACGTACATGAATCTAGTTTAATCTTTAGTTGTAGCTACTAGAATTAAAAGGATAGTTCAGATTATTGAGGTGAGGTTGCACTCTGTCTTTGAGGTGCAGTAGACGGCAGTCAGCACAACCTCACTTTGAAGAATGGGAGACATTTTTACGAGGGAGTCAAGCTTGTGGTTTGTGAGATTTAAGAGGGAACTTTATTTTACCATCTAAAACAACACACGTTCAATAACTTTTTACTTCTGAGGAGCCATTAGTTTAACTCCTCCATAGGAATTTCTTTAATTTTCAAAACTCAGATTGCTCTGACTGCTGCAGGTAAGATACTGACTACTCTGACATTTTGCACACAAATTCGCTTTAAAGAGTCTGAACTCTCTCTTTAAGTCTGGCTGCCCTTAGAAATCTAGTTTTCCCTGGACTTGTCATGTGAAGCTTCATAAAATTTGATTTTATTGTTTTAAAAAAAGTTTAAGCTACATCTGAAAATCTAAAACTAAAGTCTGTGGTCCCTTTGGTTGTTTCAGGAAATATTCCATCATTTTTATTTCAAACATTACTAAAAATGTTTATTTTATTTTTTTTGTATTTAGATGTATTTTGCATTTGTTCACTTCAGTGTGAGAACAGTGGTGTTCTCCTGTGCTTAGTTTCACTATTAACCCCCTCGTACATGCTCATGCACTTTGCTTTATTCACAAAATGCCCGATGATCTTCCTGCAAACCAACTTTGCCTTATGTGTGCACCCGAGAAAGATTATGTGAGCCAAGCCAGCAGTGTGTTTTGTTTTTCTTGCTGTAATGAAAAATGGAGAATTATTTGCACATAATCTTACCAATAAATGTGGTATTACAAGCACAAATAATATTTGAGTTCTTAATGTGAGTTACATTTACTACTGTAGGACATTTTTTTAATCAGAGCTACAAACTCCAGGATGTTTTCAAGCTTAGTTTCCATCAGGAGTCAGAATAAGTAAATTGCTTGAAGCGCTCATCTTTTGGGCTAACTTTGATTTTTAGCTTTATGCCACAGCTCTTTTTATCATGTTCGATTAGTTCATGTAACTCATAATACCAACATTTCTTCTGAGCACTACTACAGTAATACTGAGTACCACCAGCTGTACTTGTAGTACAATTTCAGAACCATGACTTTTTTTTAAAGCAGAGTTTGGGAATATAGACTTTTTGCATAAGCCTTTGAATTATTGGTTGTTTCCAAGTCTTCATAATAATAACCATTCAATAAGAGACAAATCATCGCTGACTAATTGTTTTTGTTTAAAAAAAAACAAAAAAACTTTGTTTAAAATTTTTTTTTTCATGTACTGGTAAATGTGCTAATACTGTAAACCTTTTGACACCACTGCTCTGATGATCAGTTGCCCCAGTACATTATTTATAAAACTTTTTTATGTGCAGTTGTATGATGTATAAACTTTAAACCTGCCTAAACACAAGAGGTCACAGAGCCCACTCGTGGATTTTGTTTCATCAGTGTAAAGTTGTTGAGGCACCTGAAGATGGCATCATTTCTCATTTTATCTCTGAGCTCAGTTTGCCTGCTGAGTGTCCTCCCAGATAAAATTAACCAGCTCCATTCACAGAAAGTAAACAGTAACATTTTTACTTCGTGTGAATGGAGCTGGTTAATTTCATCCCAAGTCCACCATTATCTGAAGAATGGCAGTAAAATGGTTCCAAATGACGTACGAGGTGATTTAACAAGTGTTGATGTCCATCAGTGCTGTGGTTTAAAATGGGAGCCTACATCATTTTCAGTTCCACACCTCAGAGGTGAGGAAAAAGCTGTTGTCATCTTAATGAAGCAACAAGTTATAAGTACTGCTGCTGGGGCTAATTACAGTCAAACACTTAATTTATTTTAGAAAACAAAAGTTCACTGAATATTTCTATGGTTAAAAACAGACCAAAAAAGCAGTCATTTGCCTGGAGATTAAGTTTAGAACAGCACAACCTCAGAACAGGCCTGGATGACTAGGACTAAGCCCCTCCATTTGCAACTGGGTCCTGGACTTCTTAACAAACATGCCACAGTCAGTGAGGCTCCACAACTTCTCTTCCTCCACCATAACCCTCAGCACTGGCTCCCCTCAGGGATGTGTGCTGAGCCCTCTCCTGTTCACTCTGCTCGCAAATGACTGTGCAGCTACCCATCCAGGCTGTCACATTGTAAAGTTTGCAGATGATACAGTGGTGGTGGGATACATCACAAACAACGAGTCCAGCTACAGGCAGGAGGTGGAACGCCTGGAGAGCTGGTGCAGGAAGAACAACATTCACATCAATATGAAGAAGACAAAGGAGATGGTTGTGGACTTCAGAAGGAACAAACACACCTACCTCACCCGAACATAGAGGATCTGCAGTGGAAGTGGTCTCCAGCTATAAGTACTTGGGTGTTCACCTGAATGACAACCTCAACTGGGGCAACATCACTACCATTCTGATCAAGAAAGCTCATCAGAGACTCCACTTCCTCAGGTGGCTGAGGCGAGCTGGTCTGGGAAGCTCAGTCCTCACCTCCTTCTACAGGTGTGCAGTGGAGAGCATCCTGTGCTCCAGCATCAACATGTGGCATGGAGGCTGCACAGCTGCAGAAAGAAGAGCTTTGCAGAGAGTGGTGAAGGCTGCACAGTTGGAGTTGAAGTCGGCCTCCCCACCATCACATTTACACCTCCAGATGCAGGAAGAGAGCCACCTGCATCATGCGGGACCCCACTCACCCAGCGCACACACTTTTTGCCCCGCTCCCCTCGGGAAGGTGATTGAGGAGGATTAAGTGTAGAACCACTAGACTGAGGAACAGCTTCTACCCTGAGGCTGTTAGACTCATGAATCTCTAACCAGAATAATCACTGTGAAAAATCACATATTGCTGCTGATCTGTTTCATGTTGCTGCTGATCTGTTTCATGTTGATGTGTTCATTCACGCTCATCTACTCACACAGACTCATGTCTGTGCTGCTGCTACTATTGTTATAGTGTATTTGCTATTGCACCATTCTTCCCAGTATTTTTCCTCACCACCTACCACCTCGTGTGGTATTGATCTACACACACATGCACACACACAGCTTCGTCTTTTTTCAGTAACAGTTCTGTATTTTTCCTTTCATTTTTACCCACTGCACCATCAGAAGTCCCTCTTCAAGCTCAAAAAGCATATTTTTTAAAGCAAAGAATCTCCAATTGGTTATGGAAAAAAGTCCAGGCATGTGTTCATAAATAAATGAATAACTTGGAAACTGTGAGTTAAACAAGTCAATTGATGGCTTTTTGGAGACGGGAGCAAATATTTTTAGACAGAAGGTGACCAAACAGTTTCCCCTCCTGCGTTGTGACCTTTCTCTTCCTACGTCTGCTGTACTATATTGTCTTGCCCTTTTTTTCTGTGTCCCACTCCAACCTACCCTTTGTGAGTTATCCAGTTTAAATAGACTTGCTTGATCTGAAAAAAAAAAATGGATCCAGTGTGATCCCTGTTGAAATGTTCAAAGGGCAGTTGTGTCTGTTTATGGGATTTTTATTTTATTGCATTTTTCTGTGAACCTCAGATTTCTTGTAATTGCATTATGTGAATGCTAATAAATGTCTTTGACAATAGAAATAAAAAAGGTGACAAGAGGTGTGGCTGCAGGTATGACAAAAAACAAAATAACTTTGTTTTCCATAAAGCTTAGAAACATTATTTTAGTTCTTATTCACTTGTTGAACCTGCAAACTAACACTTGACAGGATTTTAAACGTCAGACCGCATGGAGGAAATGGACTTTATAGAGAAAATGTTTAGATTTTATTGAAATAGTCCATAAACCAATTATTTCTGCTGATTTTTGACAGGTTTGGTCAAATTTATTGCAGGCAGATAAGCTCTTGACTTTAGTTAAGTGTGTTTATTTAAATTATGTGGGTTTTTTTTTTACGGTGAGCTCGTCTTGAATAGAAGCTCTCAGACTGCAGTCTGGAAAAGTAATGGCATGAAGAATACAGATTCTCTCACTAGTATTGTGACTAAATGTGACAGCAGCCTCACCTTTACTGAGAACTTTGTGCCGTAACTCCTTTTTGCATTCTTTTTTCCTTTGTTTTTACTTTTTATCATTCATAATTTCTTCCATGAAACCAATACAGTCCCTGAAAAGATCAACCTGGAGGAGGCATTTAAGAGAAAAATATGATGTTTAAATCATCGTATTGTGAATTTCTTGTTACATCTGCTGCTAAATTCAAGAAGAGACGTCTTGGAGAGGAAGAGAAAAACAAAACCGCTGCAACAACATGTTGGGGTTCATAATAACATCATCTGCTCTTCTTTTCCAAAGTCTTCCCTCTTTTTATTGTGGTGACCTCTGATGTCTTGGTTCAGCTGTTTATTGTTATCTGCTACATCAGTGACGTGAATATTAACATGCAGAGTGGTGTCACTCCCACCATCTGGTCTCTTGTGTTTTCAACATGCTTATCTCCGTGTTTGTCTTGATGAGGCTCACGTGTTATGTTCATCACATACTGGGGCAGATGGAGAAGGCTGCAGGGGACCCAACATAAAGATGATTACATGAGCTGGGCTGCAACAAAGCAAAGGGGATTTGTTTCAGCTTCCACATTCAGTGTCTTTGCTTTACTTTATTTTTTACAGTGATTTAAAAAAATAGATTTATATGTCATATTGTGGCTGATGAACAAGTTATGCAACAGAACTAGTAAATAAACATTATGCGGCATGACATAATTTATCTTCCTCAGTAGGAACCATCTACTGTACAAAGGTGGATAACATGCTTGGCATTTTAACAACCATCTTGATGTGGGGGGAAAAAGTGCTCCACCTCCACTTTCAGGCCAGTGAGTGACAGCGCCATCACTGAAGGTTCAATGAAGTGGTTATTACGAATGTGTACAATCCAAATTTACACATTCTTTGAATTACTTTTTTAAATGTTTCCACTTCATTTACAGCAACATGTAAAAATATTTTTTGCCTATTAATCCCAGTAGATTGTTTTGACTTTGCCCTTGTTTGATACACACAGTTGAACCAGAGGGCACAATCTGTGCTGCTGTCGTTATCTAATGAATATCTTAATTTGCTGTTCGTTGGAGATCCTCACCTGAGAGAGTGAAACAGAGGCGGAGGGGTGAGCCCAGCAGAGACTGACCTGAAAGGCTTATTCTTGCTCACACCTTACAGGACAGGTTTTAATGGGCAGTTTGAGCAATTAAAACAAATTCTGATGCAATATGCGCTCTAAATGTGCCTTTTATCCTTTCTATACCTGACTGCTCCCTTGTGGAATTGATTAGAGATGTGACATTCA